TCAGTCTATTAAGCATCCGACTCTTTTTTTTTTTTTTTAATGTTTGTTTATTTTTGAGACACAGAGAGAAATGGAGTATGAGCAGGAGAGGGGCAGAGAGAGAGGGAGACACAGAAACTGAAGCAGGCCAATGTGGGAACCCACGAACCATAAAATCATGACCCGAGCTCAAGTCGGACACTTAAACAACTTGAGCCACTCATGTGCCCCAAATGTTCGATTCTTAAGCTCAGCTCAGGTCTCGATCTCAGAGTCTTGAGTTTGAGCCCCATTTTGGGCTCCATGTTGGGCATAGAGCCTACTTAAACTTAAAAAAAAAAAGATTAAAACAGAAAAAAAAAAAGGACAGGCAATAACAAGGTTTGGCGAGGATGTGGAGAAATTGGAGCCCTCCTGCATTCCTAATGGGAATGTAAAGTGGTGCAGCTGCTTTGAAAAAGTCTGGCAGTTCCTCGGGTTAAATAAAGTTAACATATGACCCAATTAACTAGGTGTAGACCCAAGAGAAATGAAAACATGTGTTCACACAAAAACTTGTACACAAATATTCATGGCAGCATTATCTATAACAGAGAGAGAAACAAGCAAAATGTCCAGCAACTGATGAATGGATAAACAAAATGTGGTCTATGCACACACGTCCACTGGAATCATATTCAGCCATAAAAAGGAACCAAGCACTGGGGCGCCTGGGTGGCTCAGTCAGTTAAGTGTCCAAGTTCAGCTTAGATCATGATCTCCAGGTTTGTGGGTCTGTGGGTTGGAGCCCCATGTCTGCTGTGCTGACAGCAGAGAGCCCACTTCAGATCCTCTGTCCCCCTTTGTCTGCCCCTCCCCCACTCATTCTCTCTCCCTCTCTCTCTCTCAAAAATAAATTAAAAAAAAAAAAGGAATGAAGCACTGACACCTGCTACAACATGGATGAACCTCAAACACACGATGCTAAGTGAAAGAAGCCAATCACAAAAGGCCACATATTATATGATTCCACTTCCACGAAATGTCCAGAACAGACAAACCCACGGAGGCAAAAAGCACATCCCTGGTTGTTGGGAGTTGAAAGCAGAGAACTGGGAGGTACAGGGCTGACTTTAGAGGTGATAGGATTCTGAAATCATATCGTGGCGATGGCTGCACAACCTTGTGAACGTACTAAAAGCACTGAGTTGTACACTCCAAAGTGGTTAAATAGTGAATTTTACGGCCTATGAATTTTATGTCAATTAAAAAAGTGTTTTTAAACCTCTCCCAAAGAGAGTGATCAGATTGCATGTCTACCCCCTTCACCCCACTTTAAAACTCCCCAGGGCTTCCCACCACACTGGGAGCCAAACCCAAACTCCCCACCAGGGCCTGTAATGCCCTACATGGCTCTGGCCCTGTGACCTCTCCCCTTTTCTCTTTTCCCCCTTGCTCACTCCACTCGTCCCCCACCTCCTGGCCTTTGACCTGGCCTATCCCTCAATCTGAAATGTTCTTTCCCACAGCTGGCTTCTCATCAGTCAGGCTGTCCATATGTACACACACACACACACACACACACACACACCCCAGGCCCTCTCTGACCAGCCCATCTAAGACACAGCCCATTACCCTGCCTTGTTTCTTCATAGGCCTTATCATCTTCCAAAAAGGTATCGATTTTTAAAAACTATTTACTTGTCTGTTGCCTATCGCTCCAACCAAGAGGACAGGGATCTTGTCTGTCATGTTCACAGCTCTGAACTTGCCTGCCATGAAGGAGCTACTTGAGAAACACTTCTGGAAAGAACGGATTTATTGAAGGACGTCCTGTAACATCTGAAATGCCAGGTCAGGAGTCTGGAGCACTAAGTGATCACTCTGCAGAGCACACTCGGCAGGTGCTCGGGGAGTTAATAAGCATATGCTGGGTACTCAGTGGCAAACCCCACCCTAGACCTGTCTAGAACCCTGAGGAAGCAGGAAGCAGGATCCCTCCCCTCCAAAGTCTGAAAGTCTTTCAGGGGTCACAAAGCACCCAGTGTTTACCCAGCAAGCCCCAAACAATGCAAAGGAGAAATCTAAGATTGTGTTATGATGGAGGCTAGGGTCCAAATCAGCCCTCATAAAACTGTGCACTGGCCAACACCCTCTCACACAGCTTCTTACGACTTTGCAATCTGACCTGTTCTCCGGAATGAGACGGTTGCAGCTCACACCTGCTCCTGCCTCCTCCCACGGGGACTTTCTTTTCAAAGGCAGTTAAAAATCTAAACAGGAGGGTGGCGAAGACCTCTGCCTCTTGTCCCTCCCCCCCCCCAACTTCGGCATCTCTGAGCTGCACACACAGTGAGCAACTTACCCACTAGGAGTTTGACATCTCGGACTGTGAAATCAGGGTCAGGCATCCTGGAAAAAGAGAAGCACAGATATTTGCTGAGAAGCCAGAAACAACAGAGTTAGACCCAACTCTGGGGCAGGGGGAAACCATTTTTCCAAGAGGGTTCCCTGGCTCTCAGTTGGGGAACCCAGAATGAGATAATCCAGAGGGAGGGGGATAGACCAGTGAGTGCCCCCAGAGAGGGTCACTCTCCAACCATCGAGCCCTTTCCTCACTTCAGTAGGCAAACCAAACCCTCTCACTCTCCCCAGTAGGAATTCAGCACTGACACAGAAAAGTGGATGAGACATCCACTGTCCACCCCACTTTTCAGGGAAAGACTGAATTGTGGTGTCAAAGGTAAGTCCTAGAGCTAGGCATTCAAACACCTGCTTTCTTTTAGGGTCAGCAGCCCTCTCTTTGTCTCTTCCCCTAGCAAACAATCTCCATAAAAAGGAGCTCTATGGAGGGTTGGAGGGATCCCTTTAAGTTCAAAGGGGAAAAAAAAAGACACACATCATTCCAATTCCGGGCATTTGGTAACATAGGCCATAATGACTGTGCTGACATTCACTATTAATTCACAGTGACGCCAGAGGTTTGATTTCTACCCTGGGAATGAGACTCTTGAGCGAGCCTGGCAGTAGATGCTGGAGAGGGAGGCAAGCTGGGATGCCACCCACAGCCTCCTCTCCACCCCAGCCCAAGGGGCGGAAACCTGTTCTTCCAGCCTTCCTCCCGGATGTCGGATGTCTCCCCCACCCCACCTGGAGCTCTGACAGATCCCAAAGAGAATGGAAACCAAACAACACACAGTTGGGGAGGCAGGTGCTGGGGCAGAGAAAGAGGAGGCAAGGAGCCTGGCAACCTAGGAAATATGCCCTCCACAGAAAAGGACCAATTTCCCACGTAGTGGGAGTCCAGAGTAGAAAAATATGTATCTAGGTACCCTGCCTCTGGAGTTAGAGACTGGCCACTCCCTTCACAGCTCAGGCCCTGCCTCAGTTTCCTAATTTGGGGAGTACTATGTTCTCTTTAGAGAGTCGCTGGACGTTAACTGTGATGGGTCAGGGAAAGAAGTGAACACTGTTCAAGTACCCTCTGTCGTCTCTGCCCAAATTCCCTGAAAAAGATCAGTCTTTGGAGAGTTTTTCCCCTTTTTCAGGCTTTGAACAAAGAGATTCTATCCCCAGGTAGTGAAGAAAGATCCTTCTCTGTGATGAGAGGTGGGGAGGAGGGCTCAGGAAATCCATCCCAAACTATAAACTGTAAGGGAGTGAGACATGGGAAGAAGCAATTAGTTTCAGCAACTTACTTAATCCCCAGTCCATCCTTTTCTCGAAATATCAGGGGAACCCTGAGAGCTTCTCTCTGCACGTACTCATAGTTGAAATCTGTTTGGATATTGGAATTAAAACAGGTTGGTTAAGTCATGAGGGAGCAAATGAACCACGATCAGTTGGTCAGAGGAAAGACATGGTTATATTCGATGCAGGCACCAGCTCTAGGGCAAAGCTCCCCGTAAAATGACAAGGAAATGGAGCAGGCACAGCCCAGGAGAAGCCAGGCCAACTATCAGCTCCTCTGCCTACTCAGTCATTCCCTGCATGCCCCACGGGTCAGAACTTGTCAATGAGCAGCCCAAGGCCAGGGAGGGTGGGGAGGGAGATTCATGAAAGAGCCCCGCACAGAAAAAGGCCCCAGATCGCTGAGAAAGAGGGACAGAGAAACGCACCCCAAGCTGAGCTCAGAAAGTAAAGGCAGTGCAAAATTGAAGAATACCACCTGGGAGGATCTGAAGCCCCAGAGAGGAGGCTGGGAGGAGAGTTCTCATTGTAGCTGAGCATCAGGGAAGATCTTATTGTAATATCCTGCATAGTGAAGGGGAGGGGGGGGAAGCTGGTTTCCCTGGAAACTGTGTATTTGGTGCCAAAATAACTAGAGAACTGGGCACAGCTTTGTTGTCTTAATAGTGAAATTCTGCTGCAGCTATCACAATACTTGCTTCAACTGGGTAACAGAGAAGAATGCTCCCCAGGTGAAGGCTGTGTGAAGAGGGCACACTGAGGCCCAAAGAAAATTCACAAGGTAGTTTTCTGTCCCGGGTTTGTCTAGAGTAGACCCCAAAACCCTTAACGAAAGCCCTGGAGAATGAAGGAGGCCTTAGTTTCTATGTTCTTCGAGTTCCAAAACCAGGGGATCTGACCCAACCTTCCCTATCCCTAAATAGGGAGTTGAGGGAAGCGCAGATAAACCATCACATCCCCAAAGCCTCAGGTGAACCAAGGCACTCCACAAGGGCACAAGCCCTCCCTGGCCAGTCAGAAGAGAGATCACAGGCCACTGAAGCCCCTGCCCCAGGCAAATGGTTCACCAGGGCAGCTTGGTGGGGGAGGAGGCCAAGGCAACCCTGCTCAGAGCAGAGGGAGAGAACAAAACCAGAGCTGGGGAAAGCCCTGACCTTAGCAGCTCAGATCCCCAGGGGCTCACAGTGAATGGGGATTCCTAAGGATTTAAAGGCAGAGAAGTTTAAGAAGCTTCTACTTTGAATCCAGGCTAAGGGCTCCTTCTGTTTCTCAGCTCCTCCCTCGAATTTTGGGGCCAGATCTGAATTAACTACCAAAACGCAAGGACCCTCTCCTTTGAAAAGAGCCTGGACAGCAGATTTAAGGACTCTCCCTAGCTGGAATCCACCCCCTACACGCCCACACCCAAAACCCAGCTCCAACCACCCCCCCCTCCTCAGCTTCAACTTCCTCAAAAGAGCTTGAGAAAACACTCAGATTTGGGGCTGAGAATTCTTCACAAATAACTAGGAAGAGTTTGCATGTCGTTTTCTCAT